AGGGACTACTCAGATAGTCTCGTCGAACGGTTTAATCAAACCTTGAAGCAGATGTTGCGGCGAGTGGTGGCAGAAGACGGACCCGACTGGAATATCATGCTCCCGTACGTACTCTTCGCCATCCGCAAAGTGCCCCAGGCATCAACTGGGTTCCCGCCCTTCGAGCTGCTGTTTGGCCGACAACCTCGTGGGCTACTCGACGTGGCCAAAGAAGCTTGGGAACAGAAGCCAGCCCCTCATCGCACAGTCATTGAGCATGTACGAGACATGCGAGAAAGAATAGAGCGAGTGATGCCCATCGTAAAAGAACATTTAGTGGAATCCCAGCGCGCCCAGCAGCGTCTATATGACCGGCCTGCCCAAGCCAGAGAATTCCAGCCAGGATATCGTGTTTTGGTCCTGGTACCAACAGCCACCTCTAAGTTCCTGGCAACCTGGCAAAGCCCGTACACCGTGCTAGAAAAGGTGGGACCGGTCACTTATCACGTACGCCAGCGAGGACGGCGGAGAGCAGAGCAACTCTACCACATAAATTTGCTTAAATAGTGGACGTCATCACAAGCGCAACTGTCGGCTTTCACCCAAGAAGAGACCCCGTGGTGGCGATGGGGGAGCCTACATCAGCCGGAAGCTCACTCCTGCCAAAACCAAGTATGCAGCCGTGGAAAAAGAGGTTCTGGCTATCATGTGGGCAGTCCTGGAGTTGCACTATTACTTGTTAGGTCAGAGTTTCACCTTAGTGAGTGATCATGCACCCTTGCAGTGAATGGCCAAAGCCAAGGACACCAACGCTCGTGTCACCAGGTGGTTCCTCGCACTTCAGGACGTCCACTTTAAGGTGCAACATTGAGCCGGAGCTGCCCACGGCAATGCAGATGGTCTGTCAAGGATGTGGTCAGGATGGGCCAGTCTGTCAGGTACCTCTCTTACCCTAGCCCCATCTTCTCCCCTGTCACCCCACAGATCTCAGTGCAGTATCAGGATGATGCTTTAGGCGAGCCTACCTGCGCGGGATCAGCGTCACCATGGAAACCGCATGTGCACCGCAATAAACTTGGAGCGCGTGCTGATCATCTACACCTGTGGCAAATGAGGAGACGCGCATCTAAGCGTGCGCATTCGGAAGCAAGGGTGAGCAAAGACTCCACAAGCACCTCTAGTGCTGTTGTTTCCTTGTGATTACAGAGTCCAGCAACTGACGATCTGCACGTCTCCTCTCACGTGGACACTTAAATACACACTTTGGACCTGAGCACGCCAGCCTTCCAGCATCAGCGCAGGCTAGCCTTCCTGCACCTGCATAGTATCAATTTTTTTTGTGTTCAATAAATCACCCTCTGGGGTTTTTTTCCACCTTTAAGCCAACTCGTGTTGTCTGTTATCACTCACCCTGCCACAACACCTACATGAAAAACAACAGCACAGCCGGTGCTTATCACTGAAGGCAATGAACAGTGGCAGTGCCTGCAAATATAGCAGTACGTGTAATCAACACTACACTCCCTTATGAAAGCAGTGGCACAGCTGGTGTATTAACATTGAAGGGGAATGAGCGGTTGAAGCACTGTGGCTCTGAATTTATTTTCTTTCAGCAGACTGCCACTCTGAGGCGGGCACCTTTTTTTGGTCATTCTGTCACTGGTGAAAAGTCTGTCACTGGTGAAAATCACAGGTAGTTCAGGTGGAAGCGAGGCATGTGGTTACTGACTCGGCATGAGCTCATCTCCTGACTCTCTGCTTCTTTCTCCGCAGTTCTAGGGTGGCGAAGGGCCGGAATAATTCAGCGGCAGCTTATCTTCACAGATGATGGTGATGCAGAGGCGAAGAGTCCTGACATTCAACATTTCACAGTGAGGAAAACAAGGTCCTTCCATCGCTGAAAGAAATTGTCATATTCACTGCACATCCTCAGTGTCACCAGAACGCTCAAAGGGGATTGTGAAGAATAATTCACCGATTGCCGATGACTCAGCAGCAAGAAGAGGCGAGTATCTTGCAAGATGAAGGAGAACGTTTCCCAGGAAATGACATTCAGCACCAAATTATGTAGGGGACGTGGCCAACCCAAATTCACATGCTTCAATGCAATTGACTATTGCAAGGCAATAGCGTGATTCAGTCAGGCTTCAGTATTTCTAGTAGAAAGCATTAGACATCTGACACAACGTTGAGAGACCAATATTGAAAGGCAACTTGGATGAATGTGATTCTGTTTACAGAGGCTTAAATGATTTTGCTGGCTTCAAAAGTTTTTTTATATTTTTTGTCTTTTTTTCTGAAAACAGCAATTTATTTGTATTTTCAATGCATGAACATCCAATTTCAACAGGATATTTATGACTTCATCTTTAAACTTACAGTGCCTTGCGAAAGTATTTATACCCCTTCATTTTTTTCATGTTTTGTTATGTTGCTGCCTTATGTTAAACTGCTTTAAATTACTTTTTTTCCACATCAATCTACACTCCATATACCAACTTGACAAAGCAAAAACAGAATTGTCACAACTTCGTAAATGTATTAAAAACACAAAAAATCTGAAATAAGTACATTGCATAATTAACTAAATATTTAGCTGAAGCACCTTTACAGTCTCAAGTATTTTTTGTTTGATGCGACAAGCTTTGCTCATCATCATTTGGCTATTATCTGCCATTCTTCTCCCCGCCTCTTCACCTCTCAAGTTCTGTAAGGATGGATGGGGGCAGACGCACATTTTCAGGTTTCTCCAGAAATATTTGATTGGGTTCAATCCCAGGCTCTGGCTGGGCCACTCAAGGACATTCAGAGTTGTCTAAAGCCACTCTTGCTGTGTGCTTAGGGTCATTGTCCTGTTGGAAGGTTATAACCACCATCCACTACAGAGGCACATAGCTATATATGTGAAAATCAGGAGGGGCCCACCAACTACCAATTTTACACTGCTTAGAAAAATCTTAGTGTATCTCCCAGTGCGTTGTCACAAACTACAAAGACTGAATTTTTAATTTGTATACCTTTTATAAATGATATAGAGTTTTAGACAAAAAAGAGAATTAACTGATAGAAAACCAATACAGTACTTCACATCTATACCCACAGATGGTTTACAGAATAATGTGAATTAATACAACAAAGAAAGGATGGTAACTACAAAGAATCTTCAGAGTTCAGTGTGTTCCAGTAAATGTTCACATCCCCAAATACAGTCCCATTGATGATGAGTGGAAAAAGAAACCCCTACACAAAAAATAGCAATAAGTCCTTAAATTGCGCTTCAAGTAATCCCAATAAAAAAAGGCCCAGAGAGTCAAGTCCTTGGACTCAGGATATATGATAATCCACAAGTCAATATGGCGCAAACAATCCATTGAGAAGAGTCTTCTTGACATCCATGAAAGTAGAGCCTTTGCAACTCATGTAGACTCAACACCAGATACAAAGTAATATTTAAAGGGGTCATATGATGCGATTTCAAGTTTTCCTTTCTCTTTGGAGTGTTACAAGCTGATTGTGCATAGATAAGATCCCTGAAGTTGCAAAGACTAAAGTCTCAAAACCAAAGAGGTATTCTTTATCAAAGTTAAGACTCTGCCACGCCCCCTAAAACAGCTCTTTCTAACATGCCCCCACATATCTACCTCACTATGTGGAAATATTTGCATACTGCCGCCCAAATGTGCACGCAAAGAAAGAAGGCGTGGTTTCAGTAACCGCAGTTAGTGTTGATGCAGTCATGTCAGGGAGACGCTGTGTGTTTCAGTGCGAAAGCAAAAGCACTTTATTTGGCCTTTATTTATTTTCCTCTAGGTTGGATACAGTGTTTGTAAGGTGAACAGACATGTGCAGATTCCTCAGATCCTGAATCTCTCTTCATTCTAATCATCAAACTGCAAAGTAAAAAAAAAAAAAAGATTTTGAATTTGTTTCACTGCATCCATCCAGCCTAACATCATTCCTTCAGTATACTCCAGTAAAAAAGGTACAAAAGCTGTCACTGGTGTGGTAAACATTTACATAGCCTGCTATGCACACTTTAAGTATTAATATGTACTTTTAATGAACCAATATGCACCCTTAAGGGCTAAATAAGATGTATGAGTGCGTTTACTGAACCCAGAACAAAAGGAGGTCCCACTTTATATTAAATGGACCTAATACCTGTGTACTTACATAGTAACTAGATGTGTACGTAGTATGTAACCACAGTGTAAGTACACATTGTTACATAGTATCTAGAGCTGTAACTTTCTGTAACTACACACAGGTAACAACCCTCCGAATGGCTTGTGTAAGTACAAATGTGTAACAGGACATATATAACTACATTTTGTAACAATATGTATAAGAGTAATTGGAACAATTTGATCCGGGGGGTGGTAATGGCAAAATCTCTAGTGCCTGTAATAAATCTAGAATCTCGCTGTGAGCCTAATAAAACCTTTAGAATGCAGAAATGTTAGAAATGCAGATGTGTTTTTAAATTATTTTGTTTTCTAAAACTTCGTTCGTTGAATAAATAATTTGACGTCGTTAACGTTCTTCCACTCTGTGTGGAGTTTACAGACGCTCCCTTACGCCATGCCTCGGGGCACAAATGAAAAGTGAAAGTAAAAGTACATTTGAAGCTTCGCCATTTAAACAGCCAGAATCTATTCTACACTGAATTTTAAACGGATTCTAAAAGTGTTTCATAGGAACCTTTATAAAAGATAAGCCAAGAATGTACGCGTAGAAGTCGGTGGAGTATGTGGATCTAATTAAATGTGTCTGCTTTACAGTTGACTTCCACATTCATATTTACTCTGAAGGACAGTAGTAGTTTGTGTTTAAAATGTTAATTAAAGCAAATGAACGTGGTTTCATTGGTGTTTGGTGCTGTCTGTGGTTTATTTTAGCAGTTGTTAACACATGACTAACACTGTGTATTTGAGTAACTCTGCATGATCTGTTTCTCTCCGGATCTGTTCAGCTGAATTATTGTGATTGTTTGTGATTTCATTCAGAGTCAGTGCTGGACATCAGATTCTGTTTCATCATGGGTGACACACACACATCCAGAGATGAAGCTTTTTCTCCAGGATGCAGGTACTTTGAATAAACGCTGAATTAAATCATTTTAATTATATTAAATGGGAGTCTCCATCGTGCTTTTTTGTCTCTATATTTTTAAGATAAAATGTTATTTAAACAAAAAGACCATAAAGCCTCCTCGTGAAGTGCTCTTTGATTAAAATACCTAATTTATGATTATCATCATAAAGGATTAAATGTGTTTGTTATAGTTCAGTTCATCAGAAGAGATCAGAAGCAGAGTCCAGCTGTGTGTCTATGAGGAGTGACGCGTCTATGGATCATCCAATGCATTTTAAGAGTGGAGATACACAGACTGATCTCAGGTATAATATTTCTGTAAAAATATTATGGCATTTTACAGTATCAGAATAGTGTTCATAGTATTTTCTAAAGTTTAAAAATGTATTTTGGTATAGTGTTTATAGGCATTTCTTCATCTTTATCTGAAATTTTAAGATACAGTATGTAATGTTGGTCACATATTTGTGAACGCACTCAGTTCAATTAAACATTTTTGGAATAAATGAAAAGATCACAAAGTGCTCTTGATTGATTGAATAATGTATGTACTTTGTTAAATATGTTAATTCAGATGATTCACTTTAATCTCTCTGTTATAGTTCAGTTCATCAGAAGAGATCAGAAGCAGAGTCCAGCTGTGCGTCTATGAGGAGTGACGCATCTATGGATCAGTCATTAGATTATAAGAGTGAAGATACAACGACTGATCTCAGGTCTAATATTTCTGTAAAAGATTATTTGATTATGATGCAGAATACTGAAAAGACATTGTTATCGTTAGCTTATTTAATAATGCAGTATTTTAATTTTCCAGGCATGAAGTCCTCAAGACGTTTAGATCAAATGTGCTGAAGAAGTTTGAGCGTCTGTATGAGGGAACAGCGACGCAGGGACACCCAACACTCCTGAATGAGATCTACACAGAGCTCTACATCACAGAGAGTGAGAGTGGAGAGATCAGTAATGAGCATGAGGTGAGACAGATTGAGACACAATCCAGGAGAGCAGCAACAGAGGACACAGCCATCAAATGCAGTGACATCTTTAGACCTTTACCTGGACAAGACAAAGCCATCAGAACTGTGCTGACAAAGGGAGTCGCTGGCATTGGAAAAACAGTCTCTGTGCAGAAGTTCATCCTGGACTGGGCTGAAGGGAAAGAGAATCAG